ACATTTGTGGAGAACAGGGAACAAGCATTCAAAGGCTGGGAAGGGCTGCATGAAAACTCTGTCCATCTTGCCAGGAAACTTCGACGAATCCTCCTGGTAAGGGCCAATTCTCCTTCTTCTTCCAGTGCCTCTTCCCTCTTAAAGCTTAATTCCTCTCTTCCTCACTACAGTTCCTCTCTGCTCTTGCTGCTCATCCCTGCCGTCTGCCATTTCAGTCACTCATGTGTCTTCATCTTCCACATCCCTTATGCCTCTTCCCCCAACTCTCTTTATCTCCCCTCTCCTTGTTCACTCCCACTTCTTCCACCTCTCACCCCATCTCCTGCCATTCCTTCCCCATATTCATGGGTTCCTGCTCACTTGACAACTGACCTGCCATTTATATTTTGTCCTGCAGCCACTGTATGAAGTAGATGATTTACGAGATGCTTTTAAAATTCTGGGACTTTGAAGTGAAAGTCATCAGCAATCAGAAGACTTCGCAAACACTTGTTGATTTCCAACTCTCTCTCTTGCAACAGGGAGTTGATTTAGAACTCTCTGCTTTTCTCCTCTTCCCTCCTTACATCGCTCTTCCTTCCAGCCCTGTGTCTAGAGATAAGACTATCCTTACTTTTTATTTCCAAGGAGAATTAGGCTGATCATGTGAAGACACCTTCCCCAGGCTCACACTTATCCATTGCTAACTGGAAATAGCCAGGACTGCAGCGACATTGCCAGAGTGATTTGCCTCCCCTCAGTCCCTGCAGGGCTAATCCAGTGATCCACTAAATGGAACTCTGGGTTTAGCCTCGCCCCGGTGGGAGCAGACAGCCTGCAGAGCTGTTTGTGGACTGTGTTCTCACTGGCTCTGCAGTGACCTGCACATTTCATGAAGGCTTCAGGGAGCACATTTTTTTACTCTTAGAGCTGCACTACGCTCTGCTGCTCTGTGTCCTCCCCTGTGAAGTGGTTTATTTTTCCTTCTGGATGTTGGTAGGAAGTTGAAAACCACCACGACTGAAGCGGTACAGCCTATGTATTAACAGCAAATTTGGCCAGCTACTAGAAAGCTCAGCTGAGAGTATAGAAGTGAGTCCCTGACAGCCCAGGTAGCTCACCTGAAGCCAGCAGGTCTGTCTAAGTGGATGTGTACAGAGCAGCACAGCTCTCACTGTGTGGGGTGCTCTTCACCCACTGAACACTTCCCCCTAGACCAGATATGCAATATGCTCCCTCCCCAGCCAACTGCCTCTGCTGGAGGTACCTTTACAGTCCCAGTCTTCTGTTTTTCCAAGTCTTTTATTGTCCATAATATGGCCAGCAATGTCTAGTTGGTGACTGTACTAAGGGCTGGCCAGAAAAAAATCCTGGCATACACAAAACTCTTTAGCCTGTAAATAGATGTATTCTGTAGGGGCAAAAATCAAACCATCCTCCTGCCTGGCAATCAGTTTGTTTGCAATAGGGAACCCCATTAATTCCTGATCTTGTGGACACAGTCTCTACAAGCTGAAGATACCTGTTCATAGTTCATGCCTGCTCACCACCACCTTCCCACCACCTAAATTACAGCTGGACTGCCCTCTCCAATCTAACCTCTTGAGGCTGTGACAAGGCTGTGTCCTACCCTCTGGGTGTGCTCTGTCATTTCCTTCATGATGGCTGCAAGTTCTCTGCTCCATCCTGTTCCTCTTTCTGCACAAGGCTGGAGGCTCCTCAGAGCACCTTCTCTGGTCTAGGCCAGCTGCAGGAGGACAGCAGAGAGCCCTGATCCTACAGGGCTCCTCCTGCCAGGAGAGGTCACAACCAGGTGCATCACAAGCTTCCTACATCTTCAGGCTCCTGAGGCACTCTCAGCTTAAGGAATTTCGACCAAGAATACCACTGAGAGCCCTTTGCAAAGCATTAATTTGCAAGCATGGTGTTGTATATTTGTTTCATATGGTGCATATATTTATACAAATAAAGGTCTTACATACAGCATCTGGTTTTGTCTTTTTTTTGGTCTCATGTGGGTGAAGGAGATAAACTGGACACAGAGGATTGACGTGTCATCCGTTCTTCCTGATTTCTGGCGGCACAACCTGGAAATATTGAACTGTCTTCATACTTTTACTTGTAGTTTTGAAGTTATTGACAATGTAACCCTGTGGATCAAGGCAGAAGAAAATGCAATGAGTAAATGCAAAGAATCATGAACTACATTAAGAATACATCCTATGATTAGATTCTTATGAACATAAATCAGTAAGTTCAGAGTGGATCCCAGAGTTAACCCATGTGATTCAGCTACAGGAATTTAGCTCTTTTGCTATGGAGGTCGTTCTAACTGTGCTTTTTCTATTCACAAACACCAATTCATATTGTTTCTTACAAGATATTCTTTAATTTGGCTTTCTAAATTAATTCAACCTCAAACGCTTTAGGTGTCTCTGCCAAGAATAACTCCCTGGAGGGTGACTGTTATGCAGTAACATTACTTTTTAAACCTAAGAGATTTTTCTCGCTTTGTAGACTGTGCATATAGTGAACATTTCACTACTACTAATATATTCTTGAGGACCACTTATCTTTACAGCCTTATGGAGATTGTGGGTGTGCTATTCTAGGTGTCTCTCTCCTTCATATGGACCTGGGCAAAAGCTAAGCTCTCAAGGGCCTGTGGCAAATATACCTCCAGTCTCAGCTGCCTGAGCTGTGGGAAATGGGGGCTTGTGATTTCTGGGAGGGCATTTCCTCCCTAGACTGTGGGAACAGCCAGAGCAGGGGCCTTGGTGCTGGCTGAAAGCCCAGTCTCACTTGATCAACACTCCGTGGTCTGCAGCAGTGAACAAGGCACAGGCACATCCAGGTAGCTGTAGAGGATCAGTCCTTGACAGCAGAGGAATGAGGACAAATGGGCTGGGATGGTGACTGGTGTGGCCAGCTGGGCATGGCTGCCACCTCCTGGTGTGTCCTGGCGGTGTCTGGCACCCTGCTGAGGGTACTGCCTTGAAGAGTCGTTGATCCATGCTGCAAACAGCTCCCAAATCCTGTCTCTCAGCAGCCCCTAGAACATGCCCACAGAAGAGCAGGACACTGACATCATTCCCACAGCTGCACACAGCATTACTCCAGGTCAGTACACAGTGTCCTTGGACTTTGCAATAATAAGAAACAGATTACCATTAAACAGTGCAAAGACACACTCCAGACCCTTGCAAACACCAGTGTGTCTTCCCCCTCCTTGCTTTCTCTTCCTCGCCTGCATGCTGGTACTTGGAAATCAGGATAGAAAGGGGTTTCAGGGTCATGGAATCTGGTCCCTTGCTACTTGTCCCTTCAGGGGATTTTCAGCCTAGATATATTTGTGTCTAGCATTGTCTTTGAGTATGCTTTTCTCCCTGGTGCTGACCCTTTAGCGTTCCTATGAGTAGAAATGTCATTATTTCATCACATATGTATTAAATATTCACAGTGATAGAAGTCAGACTTGGTTCACAGAAGAAACATGAAGGGATTTGGCAGAGAAGAGACCCCTTATTCAGACAATGTGAGCAATGATGAGCACAGCCTCTGCTGGGGAAGGAGAAAGTGGGGTGCTGCAAGAGCAGTGGTCATGGCAGATGAGGAGGCACCAAAGACCAGCAATATTCTGAAGGCTGCTTTTGGCTTTTAGACCTCTCACACATTTCTGTCTTAGGCAGGTTTCCCCTCAGGCTTCCAATGCCACATCAGACATGGCTAAAACTCCATTGCTGTTGCTGCTGTTGCACTCACGTTCCAGCGCAGGGGGAGTGTTGATGTCTCCTCAATAACCTTGTCATTAATTCACGTTAAAGAACTATCCCACCCTACAAGCTGGCACAATGTTTTTACCAGTCCAGAGGGCCAGAAGAAGATGAGAGCAGACCAGCTGCCTTCCGTGGTTACCTTTAAAGGATACCAGTGTGGTAGACCCACTTCTAGGCTCTCACAGCAGAGGTACAGCAGGGTGAAAATTCATTCTGGCAGATAAAACTAGTGTGAAAAACTTCACTGGGCTGACTTGGAACTAGCAAGCTTCCAAACAGACCAGAAGAAGTTTGTCCTCCTGCCTTCAGTGGGAAAGGGGTGAGCCCTGAGCATGAAGGGTTATGGACTCTGCTGTACTAAACTGCCTGTTGATCAAGTGATTTGATTGCTCCCTAAAGAAACAAAGAGTAAACATTATAATGTCCAGAAAGAGGGCATGTGACATCCAGTATGAGGCCCTGGACAGGGGGAAAAAACTTTAGCTGTGCTATACATTGCTGGGAGCTGTTTTATTTGACTAACGTAGGAGACATTCCCCAGCCACTTGTGCTCAGCCTTAGGTACACTCTCATACTGCTGGGACTGGAGCTGCTTCCTCAGCCTGCAGCTTTTCTGGCTGTCTCAGTAGTCTGCTAAACATCTGGAGATTTTGGCATGGCCAAAGGATGCTATAAGCATTAATAAACTGGAAGAGATAGGCACGGTTTCCTCCAGCCCCTGCCTTTTTCTTCAAGGTATCATTTGTGCACGTTGTGGATCCCAGCATCAGCACATTCCCCAGTGAGATCACACAGTGGGCCTCCTGCTTGAAGAGATTGGGACTCATGACAAGTGGAGCTCCCCACATGATTCATTCAGATGATCTGCATTATTTACTGTTCAAATTCAAAACTGCTGCAATACCCAACACATGTCTATCTTCGTTTTGCCTTCTGCCAGTAGAGAGAGCTCAGAGCTCTTCAATATCTCCTACTTCACCATTCCATTCCATTCCATTCCATTCCATTCCATTCCATTCCATTCCATTCCATGTTTCCAGCTGGAAAAGCAGAGACTTTTTACTTTGTTTCCCCAGTTTGCAATGAACAGCTATGTCTCCAGCGTATGGAATTACAAGGGAAGGTAGTGTACCAAGGAGCTGAACAAGAAAAGCAAAATTTCCACAGTGTTGACATCTTCCCTTTTATTACACTGGTTTTATAGTCATAAAAAATGCTTACACTCATAAATAAAACTTTAAAATGAAGTATTATTACAGTATTGCATAAATACTGTAATAACATGAAATATTTTCTGAAACATACACACGTAGCCATAAAAGCGATCTTCATAAGAAATTCTGAGAGCAGGAATGCATGGCTCATTACTTCTTTGGAACAGATCAGAGCAGGAAAAATGTTACATGCTGGCCTCTCAAGAGGGCACTTGCAGAATCTGATTGCAGAATCTGCAGACCTGGAAGCCCTGATTGTGGGGAATGGTCTCCATCCCCACTGGACTCTCAGGAAACTCTGTAAAGACCAGAGTGGCCTGGATGCCTGGCTGCATCATCCAAGCTTCCTGATGGCTTCTCATGTGCCCCTTCTATTCTGTTCCACACTTAGCAATGCCCAGACAGTGATATGAATCTTCTCTGGAGGCAGCAAGAAACTTATCAAGGTTGCAGCAAAAAAGACCACCAGGGTCTGGCATTTTGTATTGACGCACAAATTGAGCTTGAAAGCATGGTGGTGATGTTCATTAGCATTCAGTTTGGCAGAAGTGGAGGAAATCCCTAGGAGGAAGGGGAAAAAAAAGTTAAAAATTAGATACCAAAAGCTTAAGCTGTCTCTTCAGCATGATAGAGAATTTTAAAATAAAGCATCTACTCCAGGAGATCACTCTAATCTTCCTTCAGTGAGTTAGATAATCTCCCTTGGGACACATTTTTCCAGACAACAAGGTAGCACCTCTTAATTTACTGTGCCATGTATGCCGCTCCTACCATTTAGACACAGAATTGTAGAATTTAGAATTCTACAGTTTAGAAACAGAAGTATTTAAAAGGTGGTAACTTGCATAGCTGAATGCAGGGGGAAGTGGAGTTGGATCCTGTGGAAAGGCAGATTTTTGGGGGAGTTAGAAAAGCCCCCTCAGCGGTTTCTAGTACCACACCATATATGCAGCATGGATAATTCCAAGGCTGGATCTGGCAGCCAGAGGAAAGTTTTCAGCGTCTCCAGGGATGGAGGCAACAGCCTCTCCAGGTTCCAGTACAGCACCATTGTCAGGAGAGACATTTTCCTTCTATCCTGCTGGAATTTCCCTCATTGCAGTTTGTGTGTGCTACCTGGTTTTCTCTCTGTGCATCATTGAGGAGATTTTGGCTATGTCTTTACTGCCTTTCTGTAGTGGAAAACTGCAGTTAGATCCCACTCAGCCACCTTCTCTTTAGGTCTAGGAAAGGCTGTTCCCTCAGCCTCTCCTCGTAGGGCAAGTGCCCCAGCCCCCTGCCCTTTGCAATGGTACTCCACCAAATCCCGTCTGGTTCCTCAGGGTCTTTCTTCTGCCTGGGAGGCCAGGGCTTGATGCAGCAGCGTGTATTTCTCTGGAGCACATGCCTGGAGCTCACTCACCTCATTATACCTCTGCATAATTAGTAAAACAGGGCAGGATGTTCCAAAGGGCTGAGCATACAGACATTCCCACTCCTCCTGCAGAGGGTTGGTAGCTAGTCAGAACTGTTGATGATGGGCCCTATTCGCCTTCATTTGAGGGGTGGCTTGTGTTTAGCTGAGACAGCAGAGCAGTTGAGCAGGTGCCTGACTTCCAGCAGGCTTCCCAGCCAGCAGGACTTTGCAAAAAATCACCAGGGTTGCCTGGTTGGGACAGGCAATTTGTTAGCTGGCTCTTTAAAACCAGGAGCTGAAGGGCAGATTCCCCTTGCAGTGCTGTACAGGGAATGGTGCTGAGTCAGCAGCAGTTTGTCAGCACTCACAGCATTCAGCAGACAGCTCTGCTCAGCTCCCCGCAGGCGTCACACCACACACCTGATCGTGCGTAAACTGCTGAATTATTTAATCATCTCAGGCATTTGGAGAGTCTGAAAGGCTGAAAACCAAGGGAAAAATGTCTCCTAAACCATTCATTGCATAAAGTACTTTGTTAGATCAGCTGACTGACTGGATATTGCTACTGACTGTGTATCTTATCACCTGAGTGTCTTACTCAGACAAGAAATGGAAAGGTCTCGAGTTACTGAAAGTCCTATGTAATGTTTGGGGTGGATGGAACTGAAATGAAATATAATGTAATGTGTGCCTTTTCCTCAGCCAGAAATAAAACAAGGCATTCATAGCATCCTACAAACAGGTGAGTTTTGCATCTATGACTGTAAGTTCCTGCCTGCATCATTTTGTGTCTGTGACTCTGAGTTCCTGACAGCAGTTTCGTGCATCCCTTCCTCCACCTCTTGCCATCCATTCTGCACAGAGGGACCAGTTCCAGCAAGAACAGGCTTGCTCCACAAAGGGTGGCTGAGCCCCGCAGTTAACTCCTGATCTTCTCTCCTGTCCAGCAAACCACTTCCTCTATCTGAGTAGGATATCAGGCCGTACAAATAACTTCTTCAGTTATGTGGATTGCAAGAAATAGGGAAAACAGATCATGGTCATACGACACTCTTATCTGTAAACCCTGATCCTGAAGGTAAATTCACCCATCTGGGCTTTTGAACTTGCTCAGAACTTAACTAAAATCCATGGTCCTGCCCTGAGAGGCAAAAAGAGAATACTTGAATCATGATTACGGAGCTGAAGGAGCTTTTGGGGTCAAACAGCTCCAGTAAACTGCAAGCTAATGTACTGGTAGCTGATTAATGCAGAAGGTTGAAATAATGTACCCTTTCCTTAGTTAAAATCTGACACTACTGCTAAATCTCTTTTCTTCTCTGCTGCTGGCCACAAAGGCACAATGTAGCACTGTAGTCCTTTGGCAATCCCTTGCCTGCTTGGCTCTCTGCTTATGCAGCATCAAGACCATGCTTTTTTTTTCCTACTATCATTTCTGCTAACACCATTGCTAAGATCATCTAAACCTCCTTTTCCTTGGACTTTTTGCATTTATTTTCACTCTTGGTGTTTTCTTCAGGTGCCTACTAACCAAAAAGATATGAAAGAGTTCTGTGAAATTCAGGAAGAAGTATAGAATGACGTTCTGGGGCTGATAATGGTCTTCTCCAGGTTGGTATTCAACAAAATTTCTCCAGCAGTAACTGTAATCTAAGAAGAGAGATACACAGTCACTTTTGATGAAAGGATGCCCAGTTCTTTCTTCATTAACATGTCAATGAGTCATTTGTTTCTCAGTAAGAATACAGTAAAGGACAAAGATATTCATACAAGGGGTACACAAATAACTACACAAATAAGTTAGTGGAAAGGGGAACCAAAACTCTACAGAGTAGCAATACGTCTAAAAATGAATTGCCAGAGAGAGAAATTGATCATTGTGGTGGCTTGGGCAACCCTTATCACAAATAGCACCCTCTGGCCTAAAGCCAAGAGAGAGGGAATCAGCAAGTGGCAGGAGAGAAAAGGGAAGTGCGACATGCAGTCAGAGCTGGTCAGGCTCTCCTTTTGGCAGCCTTGTGCTTGAGAACACAGCTTTGGTAAGATAAGCTGCTTCAATCACAAATCTGTCTGACTTATCCCAATGATCAGGGAAAACCAGGAGTGAACACTCTAACATTTAGCGGTTTCATATTGATCTTAGTGTTGACAGGATGGCCAGAAATTCTGTCAATGCTCTGATGCTATAATCCCAGAGACAGTACCCCCAGTATACGCAATGTCCTTTAAGATTACATTTGACCTGGTGGGTTTTGTAGCCCCACACTCCAGTGGTAAGTACCCACACAGGTGTGTGAGGTTCATCTGTTCAAATATACATTCCTTTTTGTGAGCTGCTTGTCTGGACTGTTCTTACATCCAAACATCACTAGGCAAGCAAGACACACACACAAAAAGGCACACGTGCAAGATGTGTCTTCTGTGATGCATCATCTGAAAGTCTCCTTTAGACAAGTTTCCTTCTTTTCTCCAGCTCCAAAGGGAAACCAATTACTTGATGCAGCTGGCAGGCTGATCTGCATGTGTATTCTAGGAGGGACAGGTTCTGTATTGCCCAGGATTTTGCACTGCATGTAAAGGAGGTGTGGATAGCTAGAGAAACCTCCAATCCTCCATGTTCAGATTTAGCAAGAGGAAATGACCATGCCGGTCCTGCTGCTGTACAGGATTGGGGAAGAAATAAGGCAGAAGAGAGCAACATTTTTGCACTCACTAGTCCTCCCAAAGCCAGTCATCACCTGTGTTACAAACTAAGGGAGCTTTCAATCCACACTTAGACAAAGAGCAGCTGGGTTACCTTCAGGATTCATGATATGTACAGCGACTCCATTCATCATGAGGCTGTGGAGACCGTGTCGGTTATGGGCATCGTGGTGCTTGAACAGCCTGGCTGCATATATTTTCAAGGTCACATTCGGGTGTGACCTCAGGAATTCCAGAATCCTTCTGGAGCAGTTTCCACAGGGACTAGTTGAAAGGAACCAGGTGATGGAGCAAGGAGCTTGTCGCCTGTCATTGAAATGATTTTCCAAGAAGTTGATTTCAGCATGTTGTCCAGGATTGTTTGAGCACCAGTTCCTCCAGACAGAACGTCTTCTCCACCTGATTTCATACAGCAGGTACACCACCTGTGCCTTTTGGCTAGGTGAGTAATTTCTTTGGAAGTCTCCTGGCTGTATCTTCCACCTGAAGAAGAGTAGCAGCAGTACTGTGATCTCAGCACCTCAATGATGTTTGGTCTCATTGTGCACTGCCTACTCTCAATATCAGCCAGGACTCCCACTCCCAGCTTTTCCCATCAGAAATGAGCAGCTTGAAGAATGTTGGGATTTAGCGATCTAAATCTGGAATTTGATGACAACTTCAGAACACCCCCAGCACCTCCTTGAGAACTGTTGGGTGGGTAAGCAACCCCATCATCACTCAGAGATCAGCATCAGTCAAAGCAGTAAGGCAACTGGAAAAGGAAGATTGAAGGAAGGGATAGTAAGAATAAAAGAAGGCACAAGGCTGTCTCTGGAAATTGCCATGTAACTCAGGCAGCAGTGAGTGACTTACATCTCTTACCCTTGGTTGCTCTCTCTGGATGAGGAACCTGTGTAGAAAAGATTTGTGGGTCACTGAGGATAGCAGGTCAGAAAACAAAATTTCCTCTACCCTTTCTGTCCAGACTCCTTTCAGTACTATCCACTCCCTGCCAAATCTCTTTTCTCTAAAAGGGCTCAATAAGTAATCACAGCACAGCAGGACAGGCACTCTGGGAGGCAGGAGGTGTGCACTACTACCTGGAAGCTGAACTTGATAGTTGTTTAAACTCTGTTGTACATGAACTCTTGCTCAGTTTAGCACATTATGGTTGATTTTGGAAACACTCAAGTTTGAATTCCCTGATTTCAGCAGTACTGCATCTCTTTGTCCCTGACTAATCAAAGAGCAGAATCAAATGTTATCCCTTTAAAACTTCCAAACCACTTCTACGAGACAGGCAAAGCTTGAGCCACTTTCTCATTGGTACTCATAATCTTGGCAATCTAGACAAAAAGATTTCCACAACCGACTTCCCATCTTCACTTACCCTGTAACTTTCTAAAAAATTTTAAAATATCAGTGCCAAGGAACAAAATATCGGTACAGAAAGGAGGGTAACAAATACATACAGGGTGGCAAAGCGGCCCTGCTGATTATACATATTTTATCTTCCATGGTGGCAAGCAACTTTGACCCCATGACTCATCCCTTCCTAGCTGAGATTCTAGATCTCATAATTCATCCCTTCCCAGCTGAGGGTCTAGAGGAAAACAATTGCAGGTGATCAAGGCTACTTATTTATTTTGTAAAAATCCACCAATAGAAAACTTAAAGATCCAGGAATCATCATTTTATTTCATAAAATAATTAATTTCATTTTTTAAATTTTAAGTGTATATAAAATAAAAATAATTAATTTTATTTTTAGTTTTTATGTATTACACATAATATAATAAAGATTTCTTTTTAAATTTACTTAGAATTAAGATACTAAAGGCATTTTTCTGCAGCTTAGCTCTTGAAGATAAGAAATTATGAATTATACAGAGTAAAATTACATTTTAACAGGAAGAAAATAGTTTTCCACATCAACAGAGACACAATCAACTCCTTGCACAGCCTTGTTGCCCTGATTCTTTAAGAAGAATATTTTAGTTATTTATCACAATGAAAATAAAATAGATGAATACATAAGCTAACTAAATTCCTCCATTCTTAAATGCCTTTGAGATCTCTTTTCACAGTAAAAGTCCTTTTAGATTTTGAATTCTGCCTGCCACACCAAGGTTAACAAAATTATGTTAATATTTTGAAGCTAGACCTAAGACTCAAGGTATGATAATGTATTCAAAGACATAAAACACAAATCCATATTTGTCTCCTGTGTATCCTCGTGCCAACAAAACACATTTGTGTCTACACTCCAGTCCTTTAGATACAACTACTGTAAATATTTACACTTGAATATGGAGAAATAGGCCTGCCTTTCACAGAAATATACTTACCTCTGGCACTGACAGCAGCCATGGATGTTTCTGGATTTGTGTGTGGCTTCCTGGGAAACTGGTACGCCTTTATAAGTCTTACATTAGTTTCAGTTTCTATTCCTGAATCAGAATACTGTTCTTTGGTCCTTATTAATGTTGCTCAGCTGAGCATTTCCTTATGGTGACTTTGCTCTTATGTGCATTCTCCAAGTGGCTGAAGCTGAAAGCAAGCCCCTGGCATCAAAGAACTGCAAATGGGGGTGACCCCACCCACAAATTGATCTGGCCTTGAGTACAAGGTTACCTTCCAGAAGCTGGAATTAACAGGTGAGCCACTTTTCTCAGTGCTGACAGAAATTAGATTCCTTTTTAAACTCTGGCTCCAGAACAGAAAAGCAAATCTTCTGTAGTCACCCAATGCAACAAGAGAGAAAAGCATCTCTACAAATGGCATCAAGCCACACAGCTGTGGCATGGCATGTCACTTTTCTGACACCCAGATGCCACGAGAACACAGCCCAATGGAAAGAGGGAAACAGAAGACATCATGTGCAAAACCTGTGAGTCTGTGGAACTCCAGCAGGTGGTGGTGGTGGTGGTTTCTGCCATTTCCCTTCATGGAACTTCTCCCCTGGAGTTCCAAGGACAGCTCACACCCCCTTGAGCCTGAGTCCTCACAAAATCGAGGCAGACACTCAGTGTGTGTGAGCACCAAGCTGAGGGCAGTGACTGGGCAGCCACTCTCAGGCTCACTCTAAGCAAGCTTCCCAGCATCTAGGAGAGCTTTGGCAGTGAGGGAACATCCACATATTTTTGAAATATCACAACTGAGCAGAGCTCTGTACTCATGTGGACACTCTGAGAGCAAGACCTGAGCCATCTGTGGAGTATCTGCAGAAGCAATTGGTCATGATATCAGTTCACTGATGTAAATAGAACAGATATTTTCCAGTGCCCTGAGAAATCTGCTCAGCATTATGAACTGGGCATCACCTTACTGCAATCAGTTCTGTAACTTTCACAAAATGCAGCAAAAGAATATTTCCCATTTAATCTGAAAAATTACTGAAACAATGCTAGTTTCTAGTGAGAAGGTCTCCTCTGACTGACACACCCAAAACTGGCTTACAGAGGAAAGGGATTACAAAATAATTCTTCACATGGCTTAGGTAGAATCGGTCTCTGTCACTCACAGTTTTTCTGGTTTTGTGACACAATTATTTTTGGCATGATGCACAATGTAGAGATTGCCTTCCTTGGTGCCAAGCCGGACATGGGATTTTAAAGCTAAGGGAGTGATTTATTTGTATTCTCTGCAGCAAGCTCTCAGTATTCTACTGTCAAAAAATATTCACTTTCCTGCCAGGGAAGACAAAAACCTAGAAGTGTACATGAATGGTGGAGTTCAGAGGGAGTAGGGATTGAGGCACTGGCAGGACTCTCTGTCAAGAAGACTGGTTGTGGCAGGTCATCAGGCAGTGCCAGCACAGAGTCTGCCCTCCAGGCCTCTTCTGCTGCAAGGTCACTCCTCACTTCTCAGCACAGAACTGTCCCCTGGTGGTTGCATGATTTCCTACTATAGAAGAATGAAGGGGAGCAACTCAAACACTCCAAGATTGTTGAAACAAAAACGTGATTGACTAACGTGGTTTTCAGTTTGTGGGCATGACTCACAGTGAGACAGGAATGCTTTGGTTCTGTAGTACTCCCTTCACTGCCCTGCCCTTACCGTACATATTTACAAATAAGCAGGTGTGAATTAGGCTTAGAGATTATTAGTCTGATCTGCAAGGAACGGCTTGATTAGCAGCAGTACTTCCTGACAGAAAACCAGCAATGTGCCACAAAAAGTGGAGAAAGAAAAATGACCAAGCAAGGAATCAGCAGTGCAACATTTTCAGGAGTCTCCAGGAAGCTGAATGTGCTGTATGAGATGGTGGTGGAAAGCCAGAAGAAAAAACAAAAAAATGAAAGCTTGTTTGCCTAATGTGGGAAGACGAATCTCTTCCAAATTCAGTAGTTGCTTTTTTTCCTTGTCAGGAAGACAAGGTTGCCACACAAGTGAATTTTCATACTTCTAGAAAAACTTGCACATTCTGTTTATGGGGACCACACTTCAGTGAGTCAAGAGGAGGATGATGACCTCCAGAACGATCATACAACTAGGTGGGAAACCTGTTCCTTGGTTTTTATGAGCAACCAGCAGTAATCCATCTGTATCCCTTAAATTGCTATGTGCCTGTAGCAAGGGTTATCTATATAGGTGGAGTCTTGTATTACTCAAAACAACTGTGGTAAAAATTTTCATTCTACTTCTTATGTAGTCACTTATGTTCCCTTACAGAAGCTGCCTAAGGTAAGGTAAGAGATAAATGTGGAGGTGGTTTGTGATGCTGAGCTATTGGTAACATCTGGATGTATCTCAACAACTCCAGCAAAAGGATTTCTTTTAATAACCACCACTCTCATATGCATGTGTTTTGGAGGAACATACACAGCAAAGGGTGCACAGAATGCACAGAATGGTGGACAGACACTTGCTCATGCCTCCTTTAACCACCAGGCTCCTTAGACCTTCTTGAGAATATTCCCTTTGGTGGTAGTAGAGCCATGCTGTATACATATGACCAGATTCACCAGGGAAAATAATCTAGAAGCTTCACAGTTTCCTCAGAGCATTTTACAAAGGGCCTCCAGGATGCACACGAAGTGATGGAGAGGTGGACAGAGCATCAGGGAGCTGGGTCCCTTCAGATGTCTCCCAGTAAAGAGATTGCAGCAGAACATGTCTGCAGCATGACAATTACAGAGAGGTTGTCTGCACTCCCTTTTCTCAAGCGTCTTTTAGCTTATCTGACACTCAAAACTCAAGATGTGCATCTGGTAACAAATCTGGACTGGGACAGAATCCTAGAAATGGAAATATATGGAAGAAATTAGGGAAGGTTAGAGAAGAAAAAGGAGCACAGAAGGAAAGTTAAATCAGACATCAAAGAAGATGAAAAGGGACAAGGTTTGAATCACCAAAAATCCCAATTTGCAAATCTCTGAGGATTTTACAGGTACTGAGCTTTTTATTCTCTGGCTGAATGACCTATTGGAAAGAAGTGAGAATCACCAAGTGGAAGTCTGGGAGCAAAGAGAAAGGTCAAATTTAAATGTGACAAAAGCCTGGGGCTTATGCCACAGAAGCTTAAGTCTCAGCCTCCACTTACAGGCTGCCTCCTGGACTTAATTTGAAATGGTAAATCCTGTGTTAGTTCAAGAGTTCTGCTGATGACACATTTGACAGTAAAACGAAAATCCACTGTGTGTTTACTTGGATTTAATGGAGTTTTCTCAGTAGGTATTTGTATTTTTTATGGAAAGAGAAACCACACAGAGCCTTTTGAGATTTATTCTGTGACCTCCACGTTTAAAAAAGGCTAAACCGTGTTTATGAATGAACCTACATGTATGAATTCACACTCTTAAGATACTTATGGATATTTACATATATGTGTATGCACAATAATGCAATAATGCATATGAAAACAATCTTGTAGATACACAAATACATCTCCTTGGGAGCATATTACTTTGCAACTCTGATAAGCACACCCACTCATGGCTCTTTTCTCTCTCCCCGTAGTACCTTTGCTTTCATTTCCTCTGCAGGCTGCACAGCATCACCATACTTCTTTACTGAGACTCTTGCTCACATGTGGAAACCGAAACACAGATTAAGATAACTGGTGGCATCCTGCCACTGCTGGGTGAGCTTTATGAGGCTGCCTCTGAACAGTGAAGTGGAATGGCAGCCAGTCACAAGGATGTGCAGGCAGAGCTCTGAGCCAGGCAAAGTGAAAAATAATTGGCTAGTGGGAAAGACTTACCTGTGTGCTTACTTTGCTAACAAAACAGCCTGATAATATAATTCTTTTATATTAACTGGTGAGGTTGTAGAAATCAAAGGATTGCCCAGCTCATTAAAGATACTTCATGAGGAGTCAGTGTGAAAATAAAAGTCTGCAAGTGATCATATCTGTACTTTGGAATGTTTTTCTACTCTAAGCAGTCCTTCCACAGTCTTCTCACACTACTTTCAGTAACTGAAGTTCTACATACTTATCGTTCTGATTTTGCTTCATTTCTCTGTCTTTGTTTCAATGCACATGCTTTGTCAAAGCACAAAGCAGAACAATAATTACCTCAAACCCTGTGGGGATTAGACTCCAGGCTCTGCTTGAGAGCCTGAGTCAGCCACCACACACCCAGCAGTTTTAAGTAGGAGGGGGACCACATAGCCAGGTGGACTTCACTTGAGAGAAAACAAAGCTTTTCTATAGTTTGTACCAAGCAGAGTGTTCAGAGCAGCTCTAGGAACTTTCAGCTACGAGATTTTATTTTCCAAGCACTCAGTCATTGCTCAATGACAGCAATATATGGTTAAACTCTCCCCAAAATTCACCTGGAAGACGTAGCTGTCATGGGAGGCAAAACCTCCATCAAAAGCAGAAAACATCTACCTGGATCAGGCATTACAACCATTGGACACCATCAAGGATGGAGTTAATTTTCTTCATTGCAGTCCATACTAAACATATTAGCTCCTGGGCCATCTGTGGGCACTGTGCCAGTGGAAGCCACAAGTGAGGGCAGTCAAGATAACCAATTTTTTAAGCCCTCAGCACCTCAAGAGGCATAGACCATAATAAATAATAAATAGTGTCCAGCACACAGCTAGATAAGTCCATAGGGCTCCAGGTGAGCAGCTGGGTGATGGCTCAAAAAGTTACAGTCAAGGGGTTTACATCTGTCACCACTGGGGTTCCTTGGGGCTCATTTTTACAGCCAGTGATCTTCAACGTTCTTATAAATCATCTATATGGGGGAATCAAATGTAGGAACCAAAATCAAGTAATTATTTTTAGCCAATGATACTAAACTAGGAGGATCTGTGGATTGCCTTGAGGGTAAAGAGGCCCTGCAGAGAGATCTGGATAATGAGGAGCTGAGCAGTCACCAATTGTATGAAATACTACAAGAGCAAGTGCTGGATTCTCCACTTGGGACCAGGTAATCCTGAAATTTATGTAACCCTGAAACCACTGATCAGTGATAGGAGTGATATAAATGGAATCAAGCTGCATTAGTGGATGTTCACCTTGTACATGAGGAATAAATTCTTCACTGATGTGAGAAACGAAATCCAGTCCTCTTAAATTTTTAAGAGTTTTAATAAATGATTACAAGGCATAATCATAAAGCCATAGTTACAGCGTACACTGGGTGTGTGGCCACAGCCAGGCACACCCACTTCTTCTGTCTGCAGGTTTTTATATTGTTACAATTGTGTTACTCCCTCAGATGATTTTTCAGATTTATTTTGGGCTCCTTGACTACAATATTACTTCAGGTTTTTGCAGCATTCGCACAGTTCAGTAGTTGCTGGCAGTCTAGGGTGGTCTTCTGATGCCATTTTAAGCTTGGTACTCTTCTTTTATGGTCTTCTGCTCTTCACTTATGCTATCTTGGATATATATTTTGCAATAATAATAATATCTTAAAATACACCTTTCACAAGCCCACTTACATCTTGTGAAAGCCTTGTCTCCCCTTTTATGCTGCCCACAAGCCATTACAAATTTTACCATACTTAAAAGCAATTTGAGACTTACACTAATTATCTACAAAGTATTACAATTTTATAATTAAAACAAACGAATTATAGAGAAAGTCAACTACTACATAACTGTTTATAACATGGATGATGATTTCAGACATGTTGTTTAGTTTTAGGAAGTCCTGAGAAAAGAAGGGAGTTGGACTTGATGATCTTTTTGGATCCCTTTCAACTTGAGATATTCTTTGATTCTATAAATGAAGATCCTGAAATGGAAGAAAGAAGTATGACATTTAGATCCTCCAATAGCATTTTGAACTTGCTGTGATTTGAAACAGACATAGCTGAAGAAGTCTATTACTTGTAGTAGCCCAAGATGTTACTTTTCCACATATGCCATATAAAATGGATTTCCCAAATAACCAACGACCCACATAGCCATAGATTTCTTTCACTCTCGTTCACTAAAAATAGCATTTGTCAGAAAATTCTAATACATTGAAATCAAAATGCTGAAGCACTTATATTAGTTTTGCTAGGTTTTTTTTTTTAATATAGTCCTTCCCAGCCAAGGATGTGGACTTATTCATCCAAGCAAAATCTCTTGTGGGACACAGGGACACAAACTTTCAGCACTGATGTTGAACACACTCTTCTCTCTCCTGTCTTTCACGACATCTGGCACAAAACAAAAACAAAGGTGAATTTTGGCAGGGTACAGACATTCTGTTTTGAACAGCTTTTTTCATCTCACAGAAACTATATTCTTCCAATCAGTCACAGAATTACTGAATGGAATTTAGAAGGGACTTCAATGAAGTATGCAGGGGCCCAGTAACTGGGGGTGTCAGATCACTGCAGACATTGTGAGAAAAGGGCTGAGTAGCACCATTTGGCAAACTGAAACCCATGCTCAGATCCAGGTTAAAAAGGAATCTGGTGGTGGGCTTCTGAGATGAGACTGGAGCTCCAGATAAAAATCAAGGAATTTCCCACCCTGGAACCCAAAGGAGAAAAACTGCACTCATAGTTTTTCCTTCAGAATATTGTTGCCTTTTTCAACCTAAAAATGAAACCTGAGATAATTTTAGTATAGGAGGTAATATAAAACTAGATTTTTATTTGGAGGCCTCCAGGGGAAGTTATGAAGAATGTCCACTAAAGCCTCCCCATGTGGGGTGAATATAGTTTTGATTAGTTTTAGGAAATTAGCATAATTGATAAAAAATACCAATTAGGAGGACAAATGGTAATGCAATTTCCCCCAAAGTTAAGCTCCTTCTCTGGAACTCCCCACTTGGTACTAGCTGTATTTATTTATGAAAATGTGTCTCAAAGACCTTGGGACCTTGTTCTCAACCTTGGTTCCCAGGAAGAACCAAGATAGGAGAGGTGCTTTGTATCCTCTGGGGCTTGGAGCTCTGGAATTTGTCTTGTCTTCCTGCCTAGGGAAAGGACACGGAAAAGCACTGAGCAAACTAGCTAGAATACAATAATAAGCTACAGAGCTCCAAATATATGTGCGAAGAATACAGAGAACATATAAAAGAAAAAAAGGCAAAAACCAAGATGGCATCAATATGATGAGAAAATATCTGCAGTGCCTCACTCCCAGTGAGACAGGATAGTTCCCATGATTTTAGTACATTACCTTTTACAAAAGCCTGCTGCAGTACTCTTTAAAGTCCATCTAGACCTACATGTGAACAAGGGCTTCTTTCCTGCTCTTTACAGCTCAGTTGCCCTAGACTGCAAATCATTTCACGTGATTCCCTCTGCCTCTCAGGGGGTACTGACCATAAGGATCTCTTCCAGCTTTAGACGATTCTTCTCTATCACCGACAGAAAGCTCCCCGCCGTGAAATCAAAATAGCCGTCTGTTTGTAAAAATGTATCCCAGCAGTACATATAGTCTGGAGAAACAGAAGCAAGATAATTAGCCTGAGTTTATTCAGAGACCAGAGAAGCTCACGGAACACGACTTTTTAAGCTCTTCCTTGTGTCCATATCACAGAGCCAGCTTGGCCATGGATAGGTCAGCTGATGGATGCTGTCCACTCTGTATTTGGAACCAATGCCATTCACTTGGGGCAATTTTTTTCCCTCCCTTAACTGCAGAGCAGCTCTTCAGCCAGCCTTATCCCAGCAACTGCACTTATTCCCTTAGGACAAGGGAGAGGAGAGAGACAATGGGAGACAGTCTCCCATTCCCTCAGGAGTGCCATAAGGATGGTATCTCTAAATAAAGGAGAATTTTCATACAGATCTGGTTGCTAAGGGTCCTGCCCCTCTTCTCCTACACTATTTAAACTTTTTTTTTTTTTTTTGGATGTGACTCTCATTCACTGCATGGAGATGGTTATGCCCCCAAGGAAGCTGAGTGGGACACGGGGCGTCATAGAAGCAAGCCCATACAAAAGTCACCAGCTCACCCTTCCCCAGTCCCACAAAGCATGGGAATCCTTGCCTTCCACATCCATGGCTTGAATGGTTACTCTCGGGAAGCTGGCAAGCTCCCTCAGGGCTGCGCAGTTTCCGGGATCGTGCTCGTAGTAGAGCCGTGCTACGTGGATGTGCATGTTCACATTGTGCTCCTCCTCCAGGAAATCCTGTATTATAGCACAGCAGTCCTCACAGGGACTCCAGGACAGGTACCAGGTGATGTCACAGAAACTGTAGCTTCTTGGCTCGAAGATTTGCTCCAGGAAGTACTCTTCCGCATGGTAATTGTCAACATTGTCATTTTTGACCCAGTGCATCCAAAACCTGCCACTCCCACCCCACTGCAGCTCGCACAGCAGGTATGTCTCGTTTGGACATGTGCGGGGATCAAACTGCTGTCTCAATACCCTCCTAGATATATACATGCTGAAACAGAAGAGAAACTGGTCATAACTTTGTTTTCAGTAGTACTCCAGTACATTAAAAGGGGGACGGTGGAGGAAATTGGAGGAGAACTGAGAAGGGCAAAGCACGAGACAGCAACACAAGGAAAATGGAGAGGCAGGCACCAGGCAGGGTAAAGGAACTAAAGGAATGAAACCCTGAACCACTTATCCTCCCCTCATTAACAGCTGCATGCAGAACTTCCACTTCCTCCCCCTCCCTACACCTGTCCTCTTCCCCATCAGTGGCAGTATTTCTAAAAGCTCTCCACAATTTTTTGTGCGTCATGACAGTTTTACAAGGTTCCTATTTCAATGTAGGGAGCTGTTGTGAATTTTGCAAAAACTAATACAAAAAATAAAAGAAAGAAAACAAAAGCACTGATACGCTATGAAGCTGATATTTCTCCTTACTGGATTCTCTTGCTGTTTGTACTCTCGTAAGGATTAACACAGTCAACACCATCCAATATGAGAGAAGAAGAAAGAAGTGCTCTATGCAAAAAGATGCAACTCTCAGGATGGATATTTTCCGAGTTCAGAAAGGACCTCTAAATATTGTCAGTTAAGAACCTATACAAAAACTGCCAGTAGTCTTGATTATATCTTTTACACTCAGTAATTATGCATAATACATAAATAATGAAGTCTCTAGAGGCACTTTGTGGCCTCTGTACAATTGCCTTATATAGAGACTTATATGAGAATGCACTTCGGATGTATGTTTTTCCACATTAGAATAATTCAGAATAAATCTAGTAGACAACTGATCAGATTCTGAAGAGAGAAGCAATAAGCCTGTAAATTGTTTTATAGACTAGTACTCATTAGTAACAAAAGCCAACAAACAAAAACCCAAACCAACAAACAGAAAGCACAATAAAAAACACAAACAAAGAAACTAAAAAAGTCACACAGCTCCCCAGTCTGAACTAGGGACAAATGAAATCCTGCAGAAAAAGTAACTGTGGCATATTCTCTATCTGCAGGACTTATCACCTGTGTAAAAAAGCAACTCATTTATCCAAGTCAGTCAGAAGGCTTTGTCTTCTCACCCTGCCTTCTGCCACATCTCAGCCTCCTTCACATTAAAGTACATATGCACACAAACCAGTTCATAAACCACAGAGCGTGTCTCTTTGTCTTCTCCATGTAAACTCCATTTATATAATTCAAAGAAACCACACATGCAGATTTCTTTATCAGACTTTCTATCGAATTTATGTAAATGTAATAACAAATGTAAATGTCACCAAATGTTTAATTCTGGTACAGGAATAACTATTTTATTATATGTAATTCCTTTAGTAGGTTGTCAAAAAAAAAGACTAGGAGAGACAAAATTGAAGCACAGACTCAATTTTAATGCTTCCTCATTTGAGGTGTTAAAAGAGATGCACTTTTTCTATTCATATTATGTTATTTGGAAGTTAATGTCTATTAGCTTAAATTTCTGTAAAACTCAATTTTTAGGGAACATATATATAATATATCGTATGTTCACAGTAAACATGTAAAATATGTGACTGGTTGAAGTTCACAAAAAAAAATTCATTAAGCTCCCAATATTCAAGCCAAGTCAGTTAATCTAGTTTTCACAGAAGGTACCTCTAAGGTTTTGGAAAGCAATGTCACGACAGATTACAGAGATCTGATTTGTTCAAAGGTATCTGTAGATGTTCTCATTTGATTATAACTCACAAACAAGTTAAAACTTACGAATCTTAAACATGTCTTAAGCACCCCCTTGCCCGTATTTTGACCCCATAAAATACTGCACTCTGGACCAGCCATTGCAATGGGTCCTATGCATATTTTCAGGGACATAAAGCTATTTCTTTAGAACAATCCTGAAATACTCTAATCTTCAAGATACAAACACCTTAGGGCTGTGTTAAGCCGAGTGAAATTTGTGGAGTAATCAACTTAATGCAATATGATCAAAAGTCTGCATTCTTATAAATATTTGCTACATCTATAACTTGCTATTTTTAAACAGCAGATTAATGAAAATTTAAACAACACTACCAGAAGGACAAATGAGAAATTTTAAAACTGTGATAAAACCTTCACACACTGTAGAATATATACCGAGACAGTGTTCATCTTTCTCTTCAAGTCAGATAAAAGAATACTTAAAGTAAATTAAGAGTTTACAGATACATTGCCCAAATCCATGCAATCACCTCTTTTTTAAACTCTTTTTAAAAAATTTTTATAGTTATCACCAACTGTCCTTCCTATTCAGCATTGTTACACATGGTACCCATATACACATAGAGTATAACTCAAAAAAACCCCCAAATCACATAATAGCTATTGAGACAAAATTCATAGTTAGCAAATAATCAGAGATATCAAGAAGAAGAAAACAATATTATTTTTCTTTCTAAATTTGGTTCATCGATGTCATAGAGGTGAACTTTTAATACTTTCAGAATTTGAGAGCTGCAGGGAAACGCACTGTAAAGTGTGACCAATAATTTGAAAGGCGGATTGTACCCCAAAATGTTTAGAGGGATGTTTAGGGCAGAAAATGGCAGAAGAATGACAGCCAGCATAACTGTCTCCTAGGCTTTATTTTTTATTAATATGCAGCTGCCACATACATGTGCATTAAACCTTGACGATGTATTGACTGATTACAAAATAAGTTTTAAAACGTGTTATTTATGTATTTCCTACTGTATGGTCCCATCATCCGTAACTGGAACAGGAATGCGGTGAGATTATTTTAAAATGTACTAGTATTACAAAAATAGCTCCTAATACGAATAAAAAACTCTTATTAAAACTGTGTAATAAACTGCATCATTATAGATATTTAATAATTTACCTTTTTTCCTCTAACACTTTTATTAGAAACTTTAAAACTCTGCTCATTGCAAGATAATAATAGCAAAAACGATAATGCCTAAAAATACATGAGCATAAATTTGTCAGGTTTTTTTGGTCCCCTGCTAACGCTCTGCACAACCGAGTCACTTCTTCACCAAGCTCTGCAACAGAACCTCCCCCTGCGTGGTCTGCACACGCAGTTTTGGGTGCCTCGAAGCTGCGGAGCGAGAAGAGCAATTCCAGCTTCTCCCGCCCGAGCCCGTGCCCGTGCCCAGCATCCCGCACGGCTCCTGCGCTGTGCCACAGCCCGCTGTCCTCAGGGGCTTGTGGCTGCCGGGACAGCCTCCGAAACAGCGCTGGGCAACTTCCCCAGCAGGCTCAGGCCCCGGGGCAGCCCCTCGCCCACCGCAGCCACGCTGGGGACAAAGGTCCCGCTGCTGGTGGCATTGCCCTCGCCCTCCCCCAAGACTGCGCAGGCACCAAGCGTTCTGCAAAGCCAGCGATGCTCCCGGCCTGAAGCAGCAGCAACAACACAGCTGGAGCTGGGGTGCTTCTTTTTTTTTGGTCAGCAATTCCTTTTACCCTCTAAGCCCTCTCTGGTGCATGGCTTCTCCTCTCCCAGTGCTGTCGTGCTCTCTGTCCCTGCAGACGAGGCTCCGCGGCCGCCCACACACAAAGCACACCCCCAGGCTCCGCTGGCACGGCGTGATGAGACAGGAAACAGGAACTCTTTGCTTGACCACTGTTGGTGCCTCTTTAATGACGTCTCCAAACTCGCCTGCCCCCAGGACTGCTCTCTGTTCTTTCCTCCCGCCTTATCTGAGCTGCGGGGGGCCTTGACACAGGTTCCCAGTTAAAAAATAAACAAACCTGTGTAGTGATTGAACCATCTCTTTGGAGTCTGCTTCTACATTTCAAATGGATGATAATGGTTCCTTGGCAGAAAAGCATGGTTTATTCTTCTGTGTAGGTCGCAGCTGTTCGGTGCAGTGTACACACCTTCCCTGAAGCACCTGGAGCTCGGCTCTGTGGAAAGCACGGTGGTTCTGCCTTGTGTGTCGCCAGATCTTTCCATGCTGTCAGCACTTTGTCAAAGATGAAGTGCTCACAAATACCACTCATGAGAGACTTCACCCACAAAGGGTCGGCAAAGCTTAATCACCTTCCCTACCAAACTCAAGCAGGGCTTCCCCTCTGGTTTTGAGCAACGCTTCCTGAACACAGGGTGCCCAGCGTCTGGAGGGGTTCTTAGATTTACTTGCTGTCTCTACTCCTCTTCCTGTTCTATTTTATTAAAACAGCTGTTCTTTAACTCATGTCTTGTCAGGCCTTTCTTACAGAGAACCACTATGTACCCTGCACCATCTCTCTTGCACATAAGTGGTCCTGGCCAGGACACTGAGATGCACACATCTTGGAATTAGACTTTGATTTGATCCTTGTGGGTCCTCTCCAACTCAGAATATTTTATGATACGGATGAGTATACAGATAAGAGTGCAAAGGGGCAAAATCCATTTATTTTGAGATTTGTAAAAAAACTTCCCATTGCAAGTCTTTATGGTCTTTTTGAGTGTTGTTATAGGAATTTCCTGTGGAAATACTTAGGAAAGATAGTACCTCCCAAGTCCCAAACAGTTCTTGCTGTTCACCTAACCACTATGCTGGAACAGCACAGTGCAGCTCAGCAACAGTGAGCTGACTTAAACCCCTTTAAAAAGGTGGCCAAGGCAAACCTGTCAAGAGTCACAATCCTAGGAAGACACTAAGGAGTAGCTGCAGTGACCATCCCCTCAGCAGCGTTCTGCTTGGGCACTAACTGCACTGTGCGTGTGGAGAGCTCAGCTGGCTCTGTGCAGAGTCTGGCTGGGTTCCTCAGCTGGAGCACAGCACTGCCTCATCAGGTCTGGAAACATTTCAAATACCTTCATGGGACACCAAGCCAAACCTAGGAAAGACTAGATGTGCCTAGAGCACTGCAGAGGCTCTGCAGGTGTGCTCCTCAGACGAGAGCACAGGGAAACAGGCAGCAGCAGGACCCAAGCGACTTCTCAGAG